TTTTATATCCTTTTGCACATTTTCTCATGAGGGGGAAACATGCAAGAGATTGGTCCTGCTGCTTGTCTACACCTCCCATTCCACGATTATACTCCAGAACACAGGTCGGTTTTATTTGTCGATGCAATTTTGTTTATCGGTACTGTTAGGAGGGGGAAAGCATCTCCAACAGTCTAAACAAAACAGCATCAATGCACGACCGAAACAATTAAAGAATCTAATAATGAAATGCACGGCGTTCGCCGAATACAGTTCTTGACGTCTTGGAGACGTCAAAGTCTACAATGGCACATGAAGTAAATGACGTCTCTCAGACGTCATTGTATGTCAAGTGGTTAATACCGGTATCGGCAGCTTTACGTAGTCCAAGAACGTGTACAGTAATTTCTCCCTAATTTGTGCTGAAATTGCGTACAATTTGGGAAGAGGAGATACGATTATTCTAGCTTCGGTGCTCGGTTTTCATATTTGTTGATAATCGGTAACCATAAAAACGAGACGCAAGGCTCGAATAATCGTATCTCCTGTTCTCAAATTGTCCATTTTTGTGCGCAATCCGAGCGTCAATTAGAGAGAATTTATCGCATTTTTAATACAATTGTTTCACGAAGCATCCAATCTAAGATATTACAGTGAAATGCAGTCATTTCTCTTTAATTCCCGCTTAGATTGCGAACAAAATTGGACAATTTGGGAAGAGGTGACACGATTATTCGAGTCCCGCGGCTCGTTTTTATAGTTACCGGTTGTCAATAACGACAGTCAAGGCTCCAATAATCGTATCTGCTCTTTCCAAATTGTTCATTTTTGTGCGCAATCCGAGCACGAATTAGGAAGAAATCACCGTATCGGGTATAAACGCTTCATTGCATCAAGTCTACCTGGAATTTCTCTCCGATAATGTTATCTCAAGTCGTAACATGCATGAACGCGTTCGTTAAAAACATATACGTCTGCCTAATTTTAACGTTGTATTTCTGCATATGCGATCTTCTAAATTTGTTGAGATATATAATGTTTTCATCGTTACAGTATTAAATGAGATTTGCTCGTGTAAAGGTATACGTATACGTATATTAATGAGCATGAACAGGTGCACTGCTCCGAATTTACAAATTACCATCGAGCTAGGACGAGATCACTGGAAACGATGAAAATTAAATTGTCTAGTAAATATTAATAAATGTATCGAGAGAGAGAGAGAAAATGTACGATCTTCTTTTCATCCAGAAACGGATCAATCTTTCCAGTACCTGAAATACAGTTCTAAAATTAACATTATTCAATAAATCTTCCAAGTTCCATGTTGAACCGTATTCTAAGCAAGCCGATGCCTTCGGCAAGCAGAAATTCCCTAATTGAATATGAAATAAATGATCGTTATGCAGCAAATGTTCCTAAATGCCTTACAAACGGCTTGCACCGAATCAAATTCGAAAGACGATTGACAGAAAAATGTGACAGGCGTCAAAACAGGCTTCGAATCGACGACGAGAACGTAGGAGCACCCTGACCAAGAAGACATTGTCTTCGGAGTTTCCTGGTACCCTTTTGTGTATGTAAATGCCATAAAATGTCTCGGTTGAAGGGCTATCGCGAACTCAGATCATCACGCGATCCTGCAGGGCTCGGGTCACCGATGTCGTCCATAAATCATTACCTGGAAAGAATCTCCAATCAGCTCCCGGTGGTAGCCGCTCCGGCGAACGTAACACAGTCGCTGGCAGACCGCGCCGACCCGATAAAGGATCCCCTTTTTCGTGTATTCAATTTCACGTGTGTGTCTTCCAGGGTGACCCATATCAATATCTGATGGGACCCGAGTCCGATGCTCCAAGACAAATGATCGGCCGCGCTCCTCGTTTAAGGACTCTTGATCGAACACGTCCGAGCCGGCGCGCTGCTCCGCGCGCCGCGGCGTTTCCGTTCGGTCGACCACCGTGCAGAACAAGCAGCCGCTTCTCCACGCTCGTGGAAATACGGTCCGGTTGGAATTCCGGAGATAAGATAAAATACGGGCGCGGATAATCTAACACGCTCCTTCTCGTATTCCGATGGTTTAATTTCTCCGTTGTCGCGAGCGGTACACGCTCGATCACGCTGGTTCCGGTTACTCGCTCAGCGTACCCGTACAGGCGGCTTCGGAACACGTGGGAAACCTGAGTTTTCCACAGGTTGGTGACGCCTCGCGTGAATCACCAAGCGGAGAAACAACGAGCAAATTGGTGGCGGTTTGTGCGTCTTCGGCGTACTTGTAATTATTCAGAAGTTCGGATCAAAATACAGTAATTTCTGCCTAATTCACGCTCAGATCGCGCACGAAAATGATTGTTGACAATCGGTAACTATAATGACGAACCGCAAGGCTCTAGTAAACGAATCTCCTCTTTCCAAATTGTCCATTTTTGTGCGCAAAAGGGTTTAGGTCGTGAGACGTTCAGACATAAGATGAACGTAAAATGGGGGCTTTTAATTTGTAAGGTTCATAGTATTATTTACATAATATGTATGTTCATTCTCATACTTATTCAATTTACGATTATTCAGATTGGAAAGAAACATTTATGAGTCACTTTTATTCGATATATGAGTTAATTGCGGCAAATATTACACTGACACTCGTCCAAAATCAGAATAAATGTGTTATTTTTACTTTTTTATAAACTGCTATTTTAATATTTATATTTCTATGTTATATACAATCTCATTTCAGCAAAGTCTCTAGAACGCGATAACCCTTAAAAACACAAAAACGTTATACTACCATGTTGTCAGTTATCAATATTTTTTAATTTACTAAAACGCAGAATCCTTGAATATCTGGATTTCAAAATAAATGGATTTAGATCACTTTCAAAATAAACGGTTCAATTAATTCCCATCCGTTTCTCTAATTTCTACAGCCTAATTTATTTTTTGATATCAAATCGACACAACGGCAGAAAGTTAATAAGATGGAGCGACGATAAATACGGGATATGCATTTAAAATTAAGATTTTTCCAGATCACATTCATCTTTTTACACTCCAAATTAATACATTCGTAGATTATACGAATCATCTTAAATCCTGCACGAGTTCCGTATGAATTTTTATTCCCATAAAATCTTATTCGAATAAAATCCTAATCGGACAAATTCCTATCTTATAAATAAACTTTTATTCGATGCAACATTTTTATCGCCGGACTGCGTAACTTTACGAGAGTTCGTGCTTATCCTTGACGATACCGAATGCAACATTGACCAATTGCTTTGCGATATTCCGTTCTGAAAGTATCAAAAACGTGTCGAGTTTCACGACATACTAAACTTTATACGCCGACGAGTGTGACGCTCGCAGTACAGAAAATCGTGTTTTCTGTTTTATGCTGACATTAATGTACCGTTAATGTTCGCATTATCAATGGTGCTGCATTTTATTGCATTTTCGAGCGGAATAAATAACCGGAGGAAGCGTTACAGTGCTACAGTACGAATCGTACCAGCAGCAACAAGCATCATGGAGGCTTTCAAGCTTATGTTCAACATCGTCGCCCTTATGGTGGTCTCGTTCATATCTTTCGGCTACGCAGAGCCCGAGGCTGATCCTTCTCCGGATGCGGTAAGTATATTTCTCGCATACTTTTCATACCGAGTCTAGCGTACGCTCATTCCGTGAATACATTGTCCAGGATGCCGATGCTGATCCAGTAAATTGGTTGAAGCTAGGAAAGAAGATCATGGGTGCATTCGGATAATTCGATTGTTCGACAAATGATCCTGATCGAAATAAACGATACTTCATGAAGTGAAATATCTGCGTTGTCTACTGAATGTTTCGGACCTATCCCCAATTTTGTTTAACGCGTTCGTCGGCAGACTAGCATGCACATCCGGAACATCGTAACCGGATCCGAACGTGTTATCGAAACACGGAAACGTACAAATAATTCTAATATTTTTCCTTCGCCCGACCGAAATCGACGTAAATACCGACGCGATAGTACGTAGAGGGCCGTACAGCCAATAATTATAACTAAAAGTGAAATTCTTAAATTCTTTTAAACTCTTTACTATTTTTTTTTAAATTCTTAATACTCAATTTTGTCATAAATGAGTGAAATCCCCTGCCCAATAAAATAAATATTAAATAATATTATTATTATATTATATATTAATATTGTATAATAATTATATTATTATTATTATTATTATATAATAATTATATAATAATATTTATATAATAAATTAATAATATTTTTATATAATTTATTATATAATAATAATAATAATAATAATATATATATACATATATAGGATGTCCCAAAAATGTCTCGCAATCTGGAAATGGCGGGTTCCTCGGATCATTTGAAGCAACTTCTTCCTTTACAAAAATTTTTTTTTCAACGAAAATTTTTTCTTCCTTTATGAAAAACAGTGACCAATAAGAATCGAGTACGGCTGACGCGAGGCGACCCAGCCAACCAGCGCACGAAGCCCAGTTCCGCTTATTGGCTCGGCCGCCTCGCGCCAGCTGAGCTGGGATTCGACCGCTCGACCGCTGGCGCCGTTGATCTCGCCTCTCATTAGTCACTGTTTTTCGTTAATAACTTGTTAACGGCGCCTCGAAGAAAATTTTTGTAAAGGAAAAAGTTGCTTCAAATGACCTGAGGAACCCGCCACTTTTGGATTGCGAGACATTTTTGGGACACCCTGTATATATTATATATATTATTATATATATAATTAGATATTAAATAATAAAAGAAATATTTTCATGCTCAACAACTTTTTGACTACTCTCCCATCTTATTTATCCCTTGTCCCACAACACTCCAGCTTGTTTTTAAGTCAAGTTCGATGCCCCAGTCTCTGAAGTCTATCGAAACGTCTCTCAGAAGGTATGCGATCTCCTCGAAAAAATAACCCAACGTTCCCACTAAGCTCGCGGCGCCTTAGCCGACGATTACTTCCTCGGGCTATCGATCAAAGATCGAGCGCGAGCAATTCCCAATGAATCATGGTCGTTTCTTGTCCTCTTTCTGGCCTGCCTGTGGCATGAGTGCCGCGCGATTTCTTCGCGGTTTGTACTCTCTTCGGTAACTGATTATAGTAACTCTAGAAATGAGGGGTTCCTGGGGTCATTCGAAGTAACTTTTTCCTTAGCAAAAATGCAATCCGCGGCTTCGTTTACGAGTTATTAACGAAAAACAGTGACCAGTAAGAGGCGAACTCGGCTGGCAACGCGGGGCGCACGATCGCGCCGAGCCAACGATCGCGCGAAGCCCAAGTCCCGCTCATTGGACCGGCTGTCTCGCGCCAGCTGATCTCGCCTCTCATTGGTCACTGTTTTTCGCGAATAATTCGCAAACAAAGCCGCGGATTGCATTTTCGCTAAGGAAGAAGTTGCTTCAAATGACCTCAAGAATCCCCTACTTTCGAATTGCGAGACATTTTTGGGACACCCTGTATATAGTTTCGTAGAAGCTTGAAATCAAAATACCTCGGAAACGAAAAGCCATTTTGAAAAAAACCTATTCAGGCTTTTTTTAGTAGTTTGGTATCTACTCTCGTGTCAAAAGCAATTTCCACGATCGCGAGATTCTCTTGCAAGTCCTAGAACTATAGTAGTAAACATCACTCGACCGAAACATTTCCCCCCCTCCTCCCCACTTCCGGATTGCGAGACATTTTTGTGACATCTTGTATACTATACAAATGTTATGCGATCATATATGCAGAAGGATCGGCACCTCGTAAACGTGCAAGGGTTCTTATTATGAAACGTCCTGTAGTCGCGGGAGAAAGAGAGCAAGAGAGAGCAAAGCCACGTTATCAGAAATGAATCGGGAATGCGTATCGGCGAGTGTTCCGTCGTCGAAGAAGGAATTCTGCGGGACGGAGACGCATGTGGGAGTGAAAACGGCCGATTGCGAAACGGAACAGGACGAAACGAAACGAAACGAAACGAAACGATACGATACGATACGATACGACATTAGAGTTGTCGCATCGCCGGGGGAACGTTTAAGCGAGGTGGCAACGTGTCCGCCTCTTAACTGATATCCGATACCGGCTTCTGCGAACGTACTCGCGCCGCTCGCCAGAAAGAAAGTCAGGTGTTTAACTTGAAGTAGCCGAGGTAACTGTCTCGTTGGATCGCGGAACGCCGATGATCCACCGATTACCGACCGGCCGAATGCCTCCTGTATCGGCTCCTATTCATTTTTTATCTGGAAAGTGTAACTGAAAGGAACCACTTGCCCCTGATCGTTATCGGACAGATGCCGACGCTCCGCCGTGCGATATCCCGGCCGCGATACCTGCCTGGTTTTATATCGGTTGAACGAGCACCGGACTCCATCAAGAGTCGGTACCGCCTTTCAAACAGAACGTGGATGACTGTTTGAAAGAAGAAGTGGGCCTCCGAACAACTCGATGGAAACTCGGCGTTCTTGTAATAATATCGATGCGAAGCCAACGCTGTTTCGTTCGACTTTTAAAACTCGACGTTTTGCCCTAGAAAATCGTGAAATTCGAGAAAGTATAACCAGTAAATTTTTGTCTTGACATTTTTGCCACGGTTACGCCAAGCTTATGTCAACATTATTTTGAACTACAATTTCAGTTTGAATTTTCAGGGTTGTGTTAAAGTTACGTCAGGGTTATGTCAAGGTTATGTCAACAATATTTTGAACGTCACTTTCAATTTGTATTTTCGGGGTTATGTAGAAGTGATATCAGGAATATGTCAGGCTTGTGTCACGGTTATGTTAAGGTTATGTCAACAATATTTTGAACTTGAATTTCAATTTGAATTTTCACGGTTGTGTTAAAGTTGTATCAGGGATATGTCAGGCTTATGTCACGGTTATGTCAACAATATTTTGAATGTCAGTTTCAATTTGAATTTGAATTTCAATTCTCAGGGTTGCGCTAAAGTTATGTCAGGTTATGTCAAGGTTATGTCATCCGACTGGACGTCGGGTAACCAGTTTCCCTTCCGTCGATTCTGAAGCGAGTGAACTGCCGATCGGTCGGCGGCGACGCACGGGAAAGACGCGGCTCCCACCTCGGCGAGTGCGCGGCGGGCCGCAGAATCGTTAGCGTGTAAGTCGCTAAAAAAATCCAGTCGACAATGATGACGTCCCACGAGCCATCAAACAAAGCACGGCTCGTCGCACAAAGGCTTCACGGTAAACCGTGTAAGCATGCGCATGCACGAGCCCGGCCAGCCATTCAGCCATCGACAGATGCACTCGCAGCGTCGAGTGGTGGCCGTCGCAGGGAACGGACAGGTTTCCAACCGGTGCCTGGGTAGCCTCGGCATCCCTCGGTTAGGTACCCGAGGATTCTCAGAATACCTGGCTGGGAACGATAACGGGCCGGTCGCGGGTGACCCGCAGCACGCGTTGCATTGTGTCCGGTAGCGGTGGGTGACAATGGAGTTCGTCTAGAATCCACGGACGAGTTGCCTACTAGCCCGCGGCTCGGCGTTGCGCGGCACGCCACAGCGAGCGTGCATCTCGCGCGAGCCACAATGCCGGCGAATAGATAATACCCAATCACAGTGGTGGCTGAATGCCGGGCCCGGCCATAATAGCCCTAATGCAACCGGTGAATAGGCCTCGTTGCTTGCGCAACAGACGTGTTCGGCTCCTCTCGCTCCGCCGCGGCCCGCGCCCGAGCTTGTGTACATATTTCTCGGTGAATCTTTTCTTCCTCCCCTCGGCCACATCCGCGTTCCCCTGGCCATTCTCTCGGCCGGTATCCCTCTCGTCATTGAAAGTGTCCGAGAGAGCCTGAATCCCGTCGGTCCGTCCCGATCCGCCGCGTACCGTCGACGCGAGGTCCTTCGCCGAGCGACGAGTCCGCGCGGCCGAGCTATAGTTAGGACGATTGTTGAGCCGCGGCCGCGGATCACCGCATTGTCGGTCCCCGCATTTTTGTTTCTCGTAATGAACTATTGATCGCGCAGCCCGGCGATCCTTTCACGCCGCCTGCTGCACCACTGCGCCCGGCCACGGTTAAGGTCCTCGACGAGCAGCCCGGCGGGAAGATCGCCTTCCATGGCTCGGTCGAGGACTAGAAGGACCGCGAGCCGCCGTGACCACGGTGGCTCGGGGCGGCGGGAAGGGGCCGAGGAGAGTGGGCGCACGTATTCACGGATCATTACGCGACAGTGACGAATTATAACGACGCGACCGTAATGCGTCTCCTTGTACAGCGGGCAGCGTTTTTGCCACCGAGACACTGGGATCGATAGAAGATCGAGAGGGGGCGACGCGACGCGGCCGGAGGACTCTGCTGCGGATACCGAAAGGAGCGAAGGGGACCACGCTGGCTACACGGTGGTGGTGCGCCGGCGGTGGTGGTGGTGGTGCATCCTGCCTCGTAAACCTGTTCCCTCTTTTCGCCGCTCGGGAACCGCTTTTATTTACGAGTGTCTCGCGTGCCGCGGAATTTCGAATTCGTTCACGGCTACCGATCCGCGAGGCGGTGGTTCTAGCAGCTCCGGGGGCCCCGAAACAGGGCGTGTCGTAACGGGTGGCCGCCGCTTCCATTAATGCGGCCCCCGGCCAAGCATGTTTCGATCTTTCGACGCGTGCACGGGAGCCGAACGATCCAATGATTGCACTGTTCTGCAAATAATTTATGAGAATTATATTCGGACGGGGACTTGCCAATTTTGAGACGTTTCCCGTTTTGGCACGGTCCAAGCGGGCCGGGTGACCTTCGCCGCACGATCTTCTTCACTGCTTCGAGAACGTGCCGTAAGTCACTACATACATAGTATTATACAGGCGACGGAAT